CCACAAAACCCAGAGGACATTCGATTATGCATTGATATGAGATGTGCAAACCGCGCAATCCTTCGAGAGCGACACGTTTGCCCCATCATTGATGACGTCATATCAGAGTTGAATGTGGCAAATCTTTTCACGAAACTGGATTTAAAAGACGGATACCATCTAGAGCTTGACAATGACTCTAAAGTAGTTACTACCTTTGCAACTCACAACAAACTTTACCGCTACAAACGGCTCATGTTTGGAATCAATATAGCACCCGAAATATTCCAGGAAATCATTAGGCAAGCTCTAAATTGAATATCTCATCTGCTCAACATCAGTGATGACATAGTCTTATTTGGCAAGACGAAAGAAGGACACGACCATGCTCTAGTGTCCACACTCCGGAGAATGAGAAAGTCGGGCCTCACGGTGAACCCCAAAAAATGCCTCTTCGCGCAGAAAGAGCTCTGCTTCTTTGAGCACATGTTCTCTGCTTCCGGCATCACAACATACCCTATAAAAATTGAGGCATTTAAAAAATGCCTGTCCCTACCAACGCACATGAAATGCGAAGCTATCTTGGCACTGTCAATTACAGTGGGCGCTTCCTACCTAACCTTGCTAATCTCACCCACCCACTTCGTCTTCTCACCAAAAGAATGCTAAATGGGAATGGGGCCCAACAGAGCAAGCTGCCTTCGAGGCCATTAAAGAAGACATATCTGGAGTTCTTAACCTGGCTTTTTTTGAGGGCACTAAAGAAATCATCCTCACGGTTGACTCGTCTACTATTGGCCTCGGCGCCATCCTAGCTCAGAAAGGAGGCGGACATACTGAGACCGTCGCCTATGCCAGTCGCCACTTTGACTTCCACCAAATCCCGATACTCTCAGATAGAACGTGAACTGCTTGCAGTTGTGTGGGGAATGGAACATTTTTATCTCTACCTTTATGGCAACGTATTCCTCCTTCGTACAGAAAACAAACCACTTGTGTCCATTCTCACCAATCCATGAGCTTCTCCTTCTGCACGAATGGAGCATCTCTTGTTAAGGATACAGCAGTATAATTTCAAAGTGGAACACACATGTAGAACTAGCAATCCTTCAGACTACCTCTCTCGCCACCCCTTGCCGAACTGCCTCGCTGATGCTAATCTGGCTCGCACAAACCTCATTGCCAAAAAACTTGTTCCAAAAGCCATGACTTGTGCGGAAGTGGTTGCTGCCACCGCTGTAGATCCACATCTACAGCAAGTAATTGCTGCCCTCAAGAATCCTGCCAACTGGAGCAACCCATCGCTGATAGATTTTGCATCAATACAGCACGAGCTCTCTCTGACAGACAGCCGACTACTGCTGAAAGGCGATTGCCTCGTCTTACCTGCTGCTTTCCAACAATGAGCAATATCCCTTGCACATGTTGGCCACCAGGGGACAACTAAAACGAAAGCTCTTATGAAGTAAAAAATTTGGTTTCCACACCTAGACAGCATGGTGCAAGCAACTCTAAAGAACTGCATGGCCATCAAGCATCGACAAGCTGAACTCGTCGTCATTCCAGAAAAACCCAATCAGGCTTGGGAAGCACTCTCCCTTGATTTTTGAGGACCGTTCCCTAGCGGAAAATACTTAAAGGTCCTACTAGATGATGCTTCGAGATATCCTATCGTGCAGATAATATCATCACTCGCGGCACCAACAGTAATTAACAATATTATGAAGATCTTTAGTATATTTGGAATCCCGAAAATCATCAATACGGACAATGGACCTCCATTCCAGAGCCACGATTTCAAAACTTTCGCTCAGTCATTAGGATTCCGCCATCATCGCATTACGCCGTGCTGGCCACAACCAAACGGTGAAGTTGAGCGGTTTATGCGCACGCTCAAGAGATTCAGACAAGCGATTACAGACGAAAACAACAACTGGACCACCGGGTTGAGTAAGTTCTTAATGGCTTACACCCTCACTCGACAACAGAGCAAACACCCTTTGAATTACTCTTCAGGTGACCCATGGGCTACTTCTTCCAGATTCAACGTACAACAATGCTGAACAGCAGATGTGGCAGCACACATATCTTACAAATCACAAAGAAACACAAGGTCTACCCAGACGAGCACAGACACGCAAGAACTCACAACCTCAAGATGGGAGATTTTGTTAACTGCAAGAAAAAAACAGACTAATAAGCTGACGCCTCTGTATGACTCCAATCCATACACGATCACCGAGATCGACGGAGCACGAATCACTGCACGAAGGGGTCAAACAACAATCACTAGGAACTCCACCTTCTTTAAACCTGTTCCTGCTTGCACAAATCCAAGAAGAAATGTAGAAACTGATGACACAGGTGTCACATGGTTCACCACCAATCCATACGAAATTGAAGCTGACAGCACGCCTCAAAACCTCCAAGCTTCAGAACCTGATGAACCCCTTGACGTGTTGGGGGGAGAAAGAGAGCAGCTGCCCGCTGAAAAACCGGGTCCCTCAGGTGCGGGACGACCAGTTCATACAAGACGCCCACCAGGCAGACTCAGTGACTATGTCTCTGACTAAGTAGAGTTTATTTCTACCAAAATTTATTTCTCTCCTTCGGGGGGAGTGATGTAGTGGTTGGACCTTGTTGATAGATTGGGGACAAAGAAGAAGAGGAAATAAAGGTGGAGATCAGTGATGGTCACCATTGCTTGGCTCCAGTCTCTGCCGCCTTTCTGATCATTATTCACCACTTCAACGACTCTACACACGCCAAGCGGCACGTTTTCTTCCCCCCTCTCCCCTTCTCCCTCAACCTCCCTTACTTCCTTTTGCGCCCCCCTCGCTCTTTTCTTCGTTCTTCCCCTCCTCCTCCCCTTTCACCCTTCCTAGTCCTCCTCTCTCTCGCTGCTTTCATCTTTCCCACTAATCCTATCCCCAAATCTTCGGCAGTTCGTTGCTTGTCGGCCTGGCAGTAAAATACCTTAATGTGTTGAAAGTCGAAAGAGGTTCGTCCTGTTCGTCCTCTTTGTCTAACTCCCGTATTTTTGAACAATATACACATTTTAAACTTTTCATAGATATAACTATTGGCAAAAGCTACACGTGTTGCAAATTTAAGAAAAATCTAGTTTATATATTCAGAGAGACATCCGTTCTAAAAGTTTGTAATTTTATGGCAATAATTTGGGAGCTATTAAAAAAAAGTAATTTCTTAACATCATCATCAAAATTGTGTTATCTTTGATTGTAACTTTAAAAAGTTAAACCTCGTGGAACAACTACGAGTTCGCGCCTCCCTGTTGGAGACGGGATATACACAAACAAACTCAAGTTATACCAGAGAAAAGGGGATTATATTAACTTTAAAATGAAATCACCAATTCAAAAAAGAATTCCGGATGAGGCGAGTAACCAGCGGCCACATTTAGAGCAGCGATATTGCCGAAATCAGTGGAACCGTGGCCTTTAAGTTCACCAAAGAATATATAGGAACAAATAAATATTTCACAGGCTTTTTTTTTTTTACAGAAAAAATAAACTAGGCATCGCCGAACGCTCATTCTCCTCCAAAAGGTAGCTCTAGATGTCACAACCAGATGCCAAAGTTTCAGCCCGATCCGATAGCTTAATCAAAAGTTATAAGTGATTTTCTAAAAATTTGAACGGGAAAATGGTGGTCTACGGAGTTTTTGAATACATGGGGCTCTATGGGCACCAGAAACCGAAAACGGGAGAAAATGGGCTCCATTTTCCCATTGAAATTTTCAGGAAATCACTAATAACTTTTGAATAAGGTATCGGATCGGGCTGAAACTTTGGCGTCTGGTTGTGACCTCTAGCGCTACCTTTGGGCGGAGAATGAGCATTCGGCGATGCCTAGTTTACTTTTGCGGTGCAAAAAACCCTGCATTTTTGTTTTGTGACACCCTGTGCAAGCTTGTATAAAGACAAAGATATCTCCGCTCTCGAAGAGGAAGAAAAAACCAAACGTGCTCACTCACGCATGGGCGGAGAAAACCTGACGCAGAGCAGCGTCGTCCGCAAGTGTGCTTTGGGAACGGCTGCTGTTTTCCAGCCTTCGCCATGCAGCAAATATGGCGCCCGCCTACAGGCAGTCTCTTTCCCGCTTATCTGGCAAGACTGCAGAGCCACGTGTCGCCGTCGGCCCGGCGATTTCTCGTTTGCGCTAATCTATTTTAGTGCGGACGGCACGCGGATCATTTATTCAGTTAAACAAGATTCACCTCAAGCACAATTAAAAAAAACAAAAACATTGAAAACAATAATGACACGAAAAATAAATAACATAAATGCAACGGTTGTGCATGCTTTTAAGAGATGCACAAATTCCAAATAGCCGCAACCAGACATCCGACGTACACAGAGGCGAAGTTGGAAAGTGGACATAATTATATCTTTTTATAATTATCGATAGCTAAAAACAAAACAAAAAAGGAATAAACGAAACCAGTAGATAGTACATGTTACTCTAACATCCCAACTCTGCTGCATAAGATGATAATCTGGGTCTCCAAAAGTGGTCCGAATGGGTTGTATGTCCCGTCCCAGCCACACCGTATTAGTTCAACGTGATGATCCTTGTCGTATAGAAACATCGCACGCCCAAATTATTAACCACACAGAAAATCAGGGTTCTCCGCAACTACACAGGTGAAGATACTCAATAAAAGGCCCATAAACTTGGCCATCGAATGCTGATCGAATAAATTCTTCTTAAGGACCGCTCACACCGCAATCGTGTCCAGTCAGTAGGCCGTAACCAATGCATTGTAGCTCGGCGGGCTGCTTCGCCCTATAGCACGATATGTTCACTCAGTTGAGGTTCATCAATACCCACGCAAAGCCTCAGCGCTGACTTTGATTGACGCCATGACGCACGCCTCCTGCATTCAATGCCAAGTGCGATGACGTCATTGCCTAACTAAGCTGCTTATGTTGGCTTGATTTAGACGTCCTGGCGTCCTGACACCCGGCGCTGAGACCTCGTGCAGGAAAGGCGACCCCCTACCAGGGGTCGCCGAGGGGCGGCGCTTTCGGGCAGCGTCCGGCGCCTGGGAAGGCATCGGCGCAGACGGCGTTCACAAGACGCAGCAGGGTGGCGTTGAAGCGCAGCGCCGTGTAGTCCAGCACCGACGGCTGCAGGACGCAGTGGAAGCCGCCGTACTCGCAGATGCGGTAGTGGTGCAGCAGGGCGTCGCTCTCGGGCACGTTGTACGTCGTCTTTGGTCCTGCAAGTACCGCCGTTTACTTGGGAGGCACCCATCCTCGGTTGACTCGTGCTATCATCTTTGTAACACTCATTTATCGGTAGAATGGTCACCAAACGTCTAGGAAACACGGGAATTTTGTGTTTTCTTGTGGCAGCTCTATCCTGGAGAAAGGTGAAGCTAGGAAACACGTAGCAGTTCGGCACGGTTGTTGTGTTCTATATGCCTGGCGTTCGAGTGTTCTATATGCCTGGCGAGCACTGTACATTCAGTAATGTCCTATGAGGTTTCACATGATATGCCAACTACTACACGTACGGCGGTATAGAAAGCCCCATTTAGGTCATTTTGTTCGTCGTCGAAGCTCTCCGTCGTCTCCTTTCAGAACACTCGAGTGAATCCCTGTAGTTTAGTTTTGAGACGTGATATACATAAAAGAGGAATCCAACGCAATACTTAGAAAGTAGCTTATCCGTCTAAAATTGTTCTAACTATCAATGGCCACCGTACGGCAATATCATGAGCCTGAGAAAGTACCTTTCTGCCTTATCAACCTATCGCTCTCTTCCTCTCACTCTTAGCTCCTCATCGTTTTGGTGGTTTCTACCAATCTCGAAGCTGTGTTTCAGGAAGAAGCGTACGTTCTCATAGGGGGATTGAAGAGGCAGTACACCTAAAAGCCGTATTTGACTGCTTTGTACACTGGGCATGCTCAGACCGAGCTCAAAGTGATACATGAACTCAACTCTGTTAGGTCACGCCGCGGTGGTGGCGCGTCGGGCGCACTTCCAGTTTGGGGGTGTGGGCGGAAGTCACCGTGCGGAAGGTGCATTCCTGCGCTGTTTTTGAAGGAATGAGACATGAAACCTGTCTTCTTGACATAATTCCGCGACTGGGGCTGTACCAAACGAGTCGGGAAAAGTTTGAAGCTCAGATTTCATGTTTTCTGCCCGCTCGGTTCGTCCAAGAACGTGGGTAGGTACCGTGAAAAGAGAAAACCAGACGCCGTAAGACCACGATTGCTTGTGCGGGAAGCACTTTGGGTTGAATTCAGGGATACTCGCGGTCGTCAGATTTTTTAGAGCGCAGCTCTTAGGCGCCTGTCTCCGGGTTGAGCGGCGTCGGCGTAACCGCGCGCGTTGCATTATAGGATGTCACAGATTCCCCGCGATATTCAGCGAGGAAACTGAAACGGTGTTGAGATCACGTGATGTCAATTTCTCCACTAAATTTAGTCGGAAAACTTAACCCGCTAAATTTAGTGGGGAGACTTATTCTGCTAAACTTAGAGGGAACATCTTTTCGCTAAATCTAGTGGGAAAATTTCCCCGCTAGTTTTAGCAGGCAAATTTAGCGAAATTTAGCAAATTTTTGCGGGTTTGAATTCCCCCTAAATTTCGGGGGAATATTTCCCGCTAGATTTAGCTGGAAAATTTTCGCTAAATTTTGCAAAAATTTCTTGCTCAACGGGAGGCGAGGGGGAGGGGAGGAAGGGAGAGAACGGAGGGGGAGGAGATGCCTACCCTCCCCTCCGTGCCCTCCCCTCCTCCTCCTCAAGAGCTGCACTCTAATCACATTAGACAGAATAGTAAACGTCTTTCGTTTTTGTTTGTTTGTTTTGTTTCGTTACAACTTGAACGCGGGAAAATCCCCAAGTTGTCCTGACCACTGGCAGACTACGTTCAGTGCTACCTGAAGTTCAAACAGCCGCCTGATCGTTTTAACTGTCGTCTACACTTTCAAACTTGTCTGCTTGTTGTCGTCTCTTCGTTCAGACGACAACGGCCTGTAGACCAAACGTTGACCCGGTAATTGCGATAAATAATTGCAGGCCTAAAAAAACTGACAAGTTTGAAGGTTGCTTGGGGTAAGTATGCTCGGTGTAAACAGTGCATGCAAGGACATGTTTATCATTGTTTTCAGTGGCCATCTCCGAGTTCTTATGCCTGATTTACTTTGTTCGATTATGGTTGCGATTTTCTGTGTCGACGTCGAGCATCGCAGCTAGCCTCCCCGCGTTTGCAGCCCGAAATACGTTGCGACTGACAATGGCGAGCAGATTCTCATGATTGGGTTAGCGTCCATTCTGCGGCGTCGTTCCCGCAAAGGAATCGCCACACGTCACATTGGGGAATTGTAGTAGACCGTTTCCGCAGCCCGCTAACCACCCGGATAGCGCTCCGTAATCCGCCACAAGACCTTGAGCTATGCAGAGAAGGCTGGCGGCGCGCATGCGCAGCTGCGGCGTTTTCTTCAGGGATACCGTAGCGGAGGAGGAAAGCGGTCTACTACAATCCCCTATTATTTACGCGAAGTTTTGCGGTGTAACGAGCCTCGTTAACTTCGCTCCGGCCACTAAATTAGCCAGACATTGCTAGGAAGACGTATAATCAACAATTCCAACGCGAAAAAGAGCACAGGGTCTCACACGGACAACGTGGCACTCCAGTGCTTTGTCTATGCGGGACGCGGCGCGTCTTGCCCACATTCCATCGCGCATGCGCGGCGCCGGTGGAGTGCCGCTAGGGGCGCTCCGGTTTGTTTGTAAACATGTGCTGGTGCATAGGCTGCCGTGAAAGGCAATCTTGATGGTGTGCATTACATGTTGCCAAAAGTACCGTGGAAGCTCCCAGTCAGCACGCACTCACCTTCAGTAAACTCAGCAATGACCGCTTGCCGACTACCTTTATAATCTAGAAAAAGATTGGCCACTACAGGTAATGTCCCTTGACAACAAAAAGCGTCGTTAAAATAAGATCTGAATTTTCTGACACTGTCTTTTTCTATCGGCAAGAGCGACAGGACATGGGGCTGTCGCTCTGCCGAAGACACTCAGAAAAAAAGGTATATTTTTCTACCCCTTATCCCACATACGATACCCCAAACGTTCAGTTCGACGTTCAGCGCATTGACGTCGAAAAGACGGCCTCAACCTTTACAAGGGGCTTGATGACGGTGAGATACACACCATTAAACAGCTAAAATATGGATCAAAAATTACAGGAAAAAAACAAGTTAGCAGTAGGGACAAGAAAACCTCGATTACTTTTTTTGTATTCACTAACACGTAGAGCAGCTATTTTAATTAGTTGTACCGCTCGGCTATCAAGCCGCTCGTGAAAGTTGTACCTGCGGTCCCACGTCAGCGCGCTGTACGTCCAACTTCAGTTTCCGTGTGCATTATATGGGACAAGGAGTGTAAGGATATATCCTTTTTTGAGAGTAAACCATGGGTCATTCTTGAAGAAAAAATACCGAAGACCGTTCGCGTCAGCATCACTCAACCCAAGGACGAGGCGGAGCGCGCCAATCCATGTTTCACTTCGCCGAGAGTCGAGGATGGAGCGTCTCACCGTCAAACCTCCAGATGCGGTGATTGCCCACCTCGATGGCGCTCATCGGGTCCACGATATACTTGGACCTCATGCCGGGCAAAAAGATCCTCCAGCTGCGCCTGGTCTTGTACTGGGTGAGCAGGTACGGCAGCTGCCGGGGCGACGCCTCTTCGGGCAGCGCGCCGTACGCACGGGTGTCATTGTTCCAGTACAGGTAGAAAAAGGCGTTGCGCACCACCAGCGCCTTTGCCCCGGTGTTTTTCAGGCGAATCTTGGCCACCAAGTCGGCCAGGGAGTCTTCCCCACGAGGCACCACGAACTCGTCAAGGTCCAGGTTAAGGACATGGTCGAAGTGGTGCTGGCAGCGGTACACGCAGTCGTTGAGGGATGCGAAGATGCCCTCGGTCCGAATCTCCTTTTGTGACCTGGGACCAGTGTAAATAATAGGGTTTTCCCGCCTTTCTCCACTCTGCACCCCTGCTGATTCGAGTAGAAGCGTGCGGTGCATTTTTGAATCGCAAACATGACTCCTTAAAAATGCAGATGAAAAAAAAAAAAACTTGAGAAAAGTATTTTATTTTACAGCCTATTTGGGCGAAAAGATCCATCTTAGCATTTTTGTTTATAAATTGTACAAAGGCCTACGATTGTTTAAATCGGACATTACTATTAAAACCCTTGATAGCTGAGAAATTAAGGGTCAAGCAAACATATTGCTATAATCCTAATGGGATCATCATAAGCTCGTCTATCTACACGTATATTTGTCATCAGTAAGGTAAAAAGTTTCCTGTGAACCTCGGGGAAATATTTTTGGGCTTTTGCTTTCTAATATTTATTTTACTGATATTATTACCAAATATCCACTAGCTAAATGTGTTATATACGGCGATGACACTAACGTCTTCTCCCTGCTTCTTATGGCAGCTCCCGGTGTTGTGCTGGAGTAGAGTAACTAAATGCCGGAGCCAGGGTATGTACTTACTTTTCCTTTCTTGTCCCGCACATCACTGGTAGAGAACGAATCACATGCACTAATTTTGACTGCAAGGCTTGCAGGGAAGCAGCCTTGCATAGCTCTGGGTTTGGGCAGCATACTTTTCGCTCTGTGTTCGCGAAACATCAACTTTAGTCTAAGTCCTGAGGACCAGGAAACTTCCGGTATTCTCAGACATTCTGTGTGCAACTTGTGAAAACCCACGTGTTTTCCGTATCTCTCTGTAGGCATAGCTCAGGCAGATCGTGGGGCGCCGTCATTACGGGGCGCGTCTTGTATGCGAGACGATGCCGTACTCCCCTGAGAACGGCTCTCTTTCGCCCTCTCGGGTAACACGCCACCAGTACACCCTTCAGGCCCACTCGTACTTGGACGCGACCGCCCCTCCTGGGGACAGGCCTACTTCCGACAACACCGGCGCGTCCATTCCCCCAGGCTATATAAGGCGGCCAAAAACATTGGCCAAGGGACTGTCGTCGCGGGAGAGCCTTGCTCCACGGAGCTCTCTTGGCGGATTCACTGAGAATGTCTTCTCTTAATAGATTTTTGCTAAGAAGCTCGCAAGTTACGCACAGCGTAAGAAGTTCTCGAATCGGTATTCTCGAACGCATCCATAAGTGAAAGAAGGAAAACGCCGCAAAAACAAAAACTTCCATTGTCCCGCAATTCCCCATCACTGCGAGAACGGGCTGTTTCTATGGCGATAGCGCCTTCGGCAGCACGAACTGCTAATGGCAGATCTTGGCGCGTTTCTGAGCAAGTGGATTTGGACCAAAACAAACATAGGCAGCGGTCATGCCAGCATCATTTATTTAAGTGGTTCTCAAATGGGGTTCCGCGACACCATTTTTGGGGTCCGCGACGCCCTCGTGTCAACCCTCAACCACCTTCCGCTTCTCAATTCTTCAAAAATTCATGTTTTGTTTATGTTGGCTAGGTGGCACAACCTACCTCCCGTTATAAAGGGTACAGCGGTTACCATATTTCTTTCTATCCATCATTTTACTTGATGCTTCTTATTATTACTGTCTCTAATAGTACAGGATCCCTTTTTCACACTACAATTAGTGGTCTTACTTTATACTCCCCCCCCCCCCCCTTCTCTCTTGCCCTTCCTCCGCTAACGTGGGGTCCCCCGTCACTTTGGCAGGTCCCCAAGGGGTTCTCTAAACATCAGTGTTTGAGAACCACTGGTTTATTTGATCATCGTGTCCGTGTAGTGAGATATCGGCTCTCACTGATTTAAACAAACCCGAATGCCAAGCTTATCGGGGACGGGATGGCTGATATAACCGCCTTAGTAGACTTCTACAAACTCGATCGCTGCGGCGTGAACAGCAGTGTCGTAATTGGTAAAGGGGACACGCCTGGGAACAAATTGCTAACGCATTGTTCGTGGTTCCAGGGATTTGGGAAGTAGTCGACGTTTTTTGTACCTCAAACGTGCCAGCAAGAGCCGTCTGTTCACGCTGGGGATCGGTGCGTGTTCCATCGAAGCGCTGGAAACACGCTGTTGGGCTGCGTGTTTCTACCCACTTCGTGATTAGTCTTTTACATTACAGTCGCTTCTACCGACTGCGAGGACAATACACAATCAAAACTCGAAGGTGACGTGACTTTCATCAGGGATGCCGTTGACCTACATCGCGTAGCTCTCGAGACATGCTCTAGCTCGCCCCGTGTTGATGTTGTGACCACTTACGTCAAGTCGGGATAAATAACAAAAAAAACGTACTCAAAGAGTCAAGTGTACGATACCAAATAATGGCCAAGGTAAAGGCAATTCCCACGGCATTTTTTAAATTATTTTCGTCGAACAAAACAGCAGATCGAATCAACGGGAGTGTCACTGCGACGAGAACGTGGGCGACCACCGCCTAACGAGGACGAGGAGGAAACAAGAGGGCAATCTCGCGGAAACGGTCAACTTTAAAGGTATGCATACAGAAGGTATTTTTAAGGTATTCATACGGAAACGGTACACTTTAAAAGAAGGGGCGGAGGGACGGAGGGGGGAGGGGGGGGGGAGGTTCCCGTGGGCATCTTTATTCAACAGGGTTGCCGCGGAATCGGCCCTGCATAGTGTAATATAAGGGTACGTAAAGAGTGGCCACTAAAGCCCTATCGCGGCACAGCTGTTAGGATTCCCAAAAGCCTCTAGTTGGTGCAGTTTTGCCTAAATTTACGTACATTCGTCATAATTGTTCCATTAGAAATACTTTTAATTTAATTTGCGTAAATCTAAAATGATTAGTAGCTTGGAGCGTTTAAAAAAAACATATTACAACGATTGCGACTGGCATTGTGGCAAGACGAACGACTTGGCTGCAGCCATAACAGTAGTCAAGGTGGCGGAGAGTAGGGAGGGTGGGATGTGGCGCGGCGCGTTGCTCTCACAGTGCGTATCTCTCGACGTCTCTTCTTTGTGGCGATGGCGAGACGGTTAAAGCGCAAACACGTAGGGCGTGTTTCAAGTATCTCTTAGGAGTCAGCTGCGACGCCGAAAAGCTCTTTCCTGTTTCCCATAAACTGAAGGAAGCTGACGCTACAAACACGAATGTGTTGTCTGGAACGGCGCTTTCACTTCACAAGCGTGCCTGCATTACAGGTTCGTGTAAACGTTTGAAGCGTAGAGTTCGCTCTCGTCTCTCTTTCGTTGCTCGCACTTACGGTAAAATAGAGTACATATTTTACGGACGCCTGAAGAAGTCTTTTTGTTACAGTTGTCTTGGTGATCACAATAAATATTTCTGCATTACTCGATTCGCTTGCTCGGTTGTCCCCCTCTTCTCTCTGTTGAGTGCAGCGGTTTTAAGTTTCTATTGCATATTGTGCCTGAACTGCTCAGAAAATTTTAATTGATACGTTCATTTAAGCAATTGATTGGTACCTGAATTTACAATTCTAGTTAGCCATAGCAGACTAGGTGGCGCAAGCTGCCGCCTGATACAGACGGAATCAATTATATCAGTTATCCACCCATTCAGATAACAGCAATTCATGTCTCTAGCCATGGAGTGAATGGAAGCGCCTAAAAAGCGAGACGAACTTCACAGCAGCCGCTAGGTGCGCTGACTGTCACGTGAGCCACTGGGGCCTATGGGAGTGGCCACCCCTTTACGTTACGCTACACTATTACTCTATGGGTCGGGAGCAGACGGTCCTGACCAGGCCGGGCAAGTCAAATGACATGCTAGGCCTAGCCTGTAGACGGGCACGACCATGGCGTCAGAGACTTGGTTCTGCTTTCGGCGAGGTCGCACAAAACACCACTCACACCGATGATTATCCGCGAGGCACTCGTCTGGCTCATGTTCCTGACGCAAGCTAGCACCGAATGGAAACTGCCGCTGGCATAAAGCCGAAGCCCCAGCAGGACTTGCACAGTCAGCAAACGAGTTGTCGGGCGGTGAAGCATTGGGGCCAGCACATCAGAGCGCTTTCAACGGTAGGCCTCGGCAACCGACAGTATCTCTAAAAGCTATGATCTACGGTTGTTCCCAGTCTCCGACTGGTGCTGAGTTCACGCTACTGCCTTACGCTTGTTTTGACGTCGCGCTGTTCTTCAACCACGAACGGGACGTAGGTAGCCATTCTACACGAGTAGTCGCGAAAAAGTTCGTGAGAAGAATTGGACGCCTCTCGTCGGAGTTTCTCTTATCTTACGCTAAATTTGTGAACATTTTGCTTCGAGAATACCGAGAAGTTCACATCTTTTGCGAAAGTTACATTTGCGAACTGTTTTGCCGTAAGATAGTTATGAAAATTTGACCTCTGACCTTTTTGGGGGCTCTGCCCCTTTCCGAGAATCTGCATATAACGGCAGCACGAAGTCCGACTCGTGAGCCTGTCAATAAACCATTTGCAGTATTCCCAAGCGCCCCGGCCCCCACTCAAGGAATCATGGGAACGGTGTTCCTTCAGCTTGGAAAGAGAAATTTATTTACAAGTTGGGACAACGGTACACGAAATTGACCCCCCGGGAGCGATATAAAAATGTGCAGTTCTTATCTGGACATGGGGCGGCAAGAAAGGATCACATACACATAGAAAATAAATAACAAGTAGACTAGAAGGGCTCCAGCCGCTACACTCGGGAAGGGTGCGTGAAAACCTAATTAATCAAGGCACCACTGAACTTGTAGCACCACTCTGCGGCCTGCAACGCCAATGAAGTCCGCATGCCACCTCCGGAGAAACTTCTCCTCCCCAAGGGCAAAAAGTGCGTCCCCGAGGTGGGAGAGGAGCAGTGTCCGGAGCCGTCGCAGCAACGGGAACATCAGACCGAGTCGGTGCTCGCGGCCCACAGCAATGTTTCTCTGTTGCCACAAGACGTAGCAGGTGGCGGCAAACACCATACTCGCACTCCGGTGTCTAGCGTAGAAATGTCTGCTCAGTGGCAGCGCAAAAATGCGACTCACAAAAGTC